AAAAAAAAAAAAAAAAAAAAAGTAGAAGCTGTGAGATGGGATCTTGGCTGATGAAAAGTTTCTGGGGCATAACCCATTGCTTGTATTGGGAACAGGCTTCCGTGTGGAGAATATGTAAAGGCAGAGGTGAAGAGCTGTAGCTAGTCTTCCATGTGCATACTGAGTGTTTTGTGTCTTACCTCTAGGACACATCCATATTTGTGTTTCTTCTGACCACTCGGGTGGGTGGTCTAGGAGTCAACCTGACGGGGGCAAACCGAGTCATCATCTATGACCCTGACTGGAACCCAAGCACAGATGTGCAGGTCCGTTTATTTTGTTTAAAGGAGCGTGTTGGTGACATACTATCTGATGGCTTGCACTCGGGAGCGTCCTTCGGTGCCACGTTACCCTCAGCATATAGCTCACATCTTGGTTGTAGCTTGTCTTCAGCTTGGAGTAAGCGTCTTCACAGTTTTCCCGTAGCAGGCACACTAGACATGGGTAAAAAGAGAACGTGGGAGGGGACAGACACACATTGTTTTCCTGGTAGAGTTGGCTAGGTCTGTTTTGTCACCTGCCTGTTTATCTTCCTTAATAGGCCTTGGTTGTACTTAGCCTCCTTAGCCAAAATTCTAATTTGGGGAGTGGAAGGAAGCGACCGGTTATTAATCAGTGCTTATCGCTGAGAAGGGCCCTTGTTGAGCTGCATCTCTCTACCGTAGGCCCGGGAGCGAGCGTGGCGGATAGGCCAGAAGAAACAGGTGACGGTGTACAGGCTTCTGACCGCAGGCACCATTGAAGAGAAGATTTACCACCGGTCAGTACACGTGGCTGTGCTCATTGACTGGAGGCTGCTCTCCTGGTTGCGGGTGTGCAGGAGGGAGAGGCACGCTGCCAGGGTTTGGAGCAAGGAATTTTTAAAAAATAGTACTTTAAGAAGTCTTGGGACTTCCCTGGTTGTGCAGTGGTTAAGAATCTGGCTGCCAACACAGGGAACATGGGTTCGAGCCCTGGTCTGGGAAGATCCCACATGCTGCGGAGCAAATAAGCCCGCGAGCTACAACTGCTGAGCCCGCGCTCTGCAACAAGAGAAGCCCCTGCTCACGGCAACTAGAGAAAGCCTGTGCGCAGCAACGAAGACCCAACACAGCAAATTAATTAATTAATTGATTTAAAAAAAAAAAAGAAGTCTTTCCATCTTAGAGCAGTAGTTGCTGTAACTGAGCGATATGTGTTTTGGTTTTTTTATCTTGTTTTTTTTTCTTTCTCATTAAAATAAGCTTAGATGTCTTATTGTGTGTTTTTAAAAAATGTCTTTGAACCTGATTGTTTTTCTACCTTATTAATAAACAATTACTGTATGTTTAGAATTCTGAGGTACAGCTAAACATTGTTTCATACCAGCTTGATTTCTATCTTTTTAGACAAATCTTCAAGCAGTTTTTGACAAATAGAGTGCTAAAAGATCCAAAGCAAAGGCGATTTTTCAAATCCAATGATCTTTATGAGCTGTTTACTCTGACTAGTCCTGATACATCCCAGAGCACTGAAACAAGTGCTATTTTTGCAGGTATTTCATAAAATAATTTAACTTACAGTAATGAAATACGTAAGAATTATGCAGTATAACACTATCATGTTTTTCCCTTTCACAGGAACTGGTTCAGATGTTCAGACACCCAAACGCCATTTAAAAAGAAAACTTCAACTGGCTTTTGGAACAGACCAGAACATTCCAGTAGGTAAAAAGTTCCCTGGTTCTAACACATCTGCAAATGTTGCCACGTCATCTGAAGAGAAATCTACAGCTATAGGACCTAAAGTGAATGCAGTAACTTCTAATCTAGGTGATCCTTTGAGAGATGCCCCTCAAACATCTTGTAGTCTAACTAACAGTGAGAGGCTTGGAGAAGAGACAGATGCAGTGTCCAGACTGCAGGATTCCTCAGTGATTCATGGAAACGGGGAAGGTTCAGGTTCTCCAAGAATCAGCAAAATGTACAGGATGTCTGGTGAGGGAAGCATCGATGAAAAGGAGGGTCTTTCTGATAAAAGAGAAAGCTGCCGGGTTCAAACAGAACCTCTTTGGGAGAATGAGCAAACAGAAAATAATTTTTATAAGCACAAGTCGAAAACGAAACATCATGTGGCAGAAGAAAAGACCCTGGAGAAACATCTGAGGCTGAAGCGAAAGCTTACGAGCTCTAAGCACCGCAGAGATGCCAAGTTTGAGGGAACTCGAATTCCGCACCTGGTGAGGAAGAAGCACTACCGGAGGCAAGACAGTGAAAATGAGAGCGAGCCCAGGGAACGCAGCCATGACGACTACGTGCTGGAAAAGCTTTTCAGAAAATCAGGTACTCCTTTTGCTGGCCTTGCCACAGGTGTGCTAGGAATAGAAATGAGGGGGCCACTTCTAGTGGAAGCAGCCTTTCCTGACCGTGCAGAGCGTGTGCTCAACTGGAAGTATTTGTCCTTCTAAAACTCAGACTTGAAATGTATTGACATTTTTGACAATCATTTTCACCTCTCTTTTTGACAATCATTTTCACCTCTCTTTGCTAGGCGAATTTGAACCTTGGGAGAACAATAGGACTCGACTTCTAACCACATACAGGAGGGGTGCAATGCTTAAAATAGATTTGTACTACCTGAACATTCATAGATGATTTCTCTGCATGCTATATTTATCTGATTTAACAAACACAGGAGAGTAAAGTGACAGATCATGGGGGAGAGAGACAGGCCAGAGGCAGGCACTCTGGAAGTAGGAAAGCTGGTAACTAATATCAAGGGAGAAAAATTAGGAAAGCAGACTCAACAATTGCTCAGGACCCTGGAGGGACCGGCCAGCCTGCACAAATTAGTCATCCCTGGGACTGTCTTACTCAGGTCCCACCAGTCATCGCGTTCCCAAGGTGACAGCCTTGAGTTTCCAAAGATTGCTGAATGGGTTTCTGTCCAGGAAAGCAGGCTTACGTATGGCATCTCAGAAGGAAACCATCTGGGCCTGATGCTTTCTTGTAAGGTAGTTCATTGGTAACTTGCTCTATTTTTTTCTACAGTTCCTGGTCTATTTTCCTAAGAAAAATTATCTGTCTTGTCTAATTTTCAAGTTTATTTGCATGGAGGCATAGAAAATACTCTTGTAATAATTTTTTTTTAATTGGCTTCTGTTTCAAGATAATTTCCCCCTTGTCATTTCTGATTTTGTATATTTTTTCCCCCGTTTCCTTTGTCAGGTTAAGCTAGTAGATTGTCTATTTTGTGATTTTTTTTTTCCCAATAAACCAGGTTTTTGATTTATTCATTAGATCCATGGTTGTTCTCTACCTCATTATCATTATCTTCAGTATTTTCTTCCTGTTGCGTTTGTTTTTGTTGGTGTTTTGATGAGTTTTTTTGGTCTTAATTTTTATAAAACTGTTTGACTTGGAATTCAGTTCATTTATTTTTGTTCTTTCATTTTTATTGATAGAAATATTTAGGGCTATGCATTTTCCACTGGTGACTGCATTGGATTCTTCTGATATGTAGTGTTTCCATCATCATTACTTTTTAGAAATTCTATAGTTTTATTTTATATTTGTATATTTTCCCCCTTCAATAGAGAATATATTAGTAGAAGATTTTAAAGTTTTCCAGATAACAGTGAAGAGTTTATGTTGAAGTGTGGGTATTAAAGCATTATGCTTTGATTATACAAAGCAGTGACAGTTGATAGTCCCTCCCTCATCGGGTAGAGAGATGCAGGTGAAGAGCAGCAGCATTTATAAAAGTTCCTGGGCTGTGATAGGGCGAGAGAGAGACATGGACATATATATACTAACAAACGTAAGGTAGATAGCCAGTGGGAAGCAGCCGCATGGCACAGGGATACCGGCTCGGTGCTTTGTGACCTCCTGGAGGGCTGGGATAGGGAGGGTGGGAGGGAGGGAGACAAGGGAAGAGATATGGGAACATATGTATATGTATAACTGATTCACTTTGTTATAAAGCGGAAACACAGCATTGTGTTAGTTGTAAAGCAATTATACCCCAATGTAAAGCAATTATACCCCAATAATTAAAAAAAAAACAAGTTCCTGGGTCCTGGTGATCACGGGTGAATAGCAGCTAAAAACGTTCATGATGTTTCCTCTACCCACAACACACTAGCCTATACAGAAGAAAACATGTGATTGTGTACGAGCTGAAATAACATGTTCACTGTTTCCTTTGCTCTTGCCAGTGGGTGTGCACAGCATCATGAAGCATGATGCCATCATGGACGGAGCCAGTCCAGACTACGTGCTGGTGGAGGCAGAGGCCAACCGTGTGGCCCAGGATGCCCTCAAAGCACTGAGACTCTCTCGGCAGCGGTGTCTGGGAGCAGCATCTGGTGTTCCCACCTGGACCGGCCACAGCGGGGTGGCTGGTACACCAGCAGGAAGAAAGTAAGAGGTTGCCACCCTGCCATGCTTGTGAGGAGGCCAAACCTGCTGGGCTGGAAATAGAATCAGGGCAGGCGGGGATACCTCCTTCCGTTTATCTGAAGCAATAGAAAATCTCTCAGGGAGGGATTGGGTCGGCCAGATATATGTGACTTGGGGAAAGACTTTTATCATCTTACTTTCTTCTTTGCTTTCATTCCCTCGTTTCCGAAGCTGATTTTTCAGGGAAAGGAGAAATCTGTTTTGCTTAAGAGGTGATGTCATAAAAAATAGTAAGAGGTACAGAATAACGATTAAACTTTAATAAGATGATTAGCTAGGTTTCAGCAATCAGTAATTACTATGGTATTCAGTGTGCTCTTTTAGAATAGTTTCCCTACCTAGAATTCAAGGGTAGTAAGTTGAGCAAGGATATTGAGTGGTTTTTACTTGAGATGTAGTAATAATTTCTACTACTTTACTAGGAGAGTACAGTATGGGAATCTCAGGGGATGGAGCAGAAGCACCATGGCTGTGAAAGAATAACCGTGCAGAAGAAAATTGCTCCAAGAGGAGTTTAGTTGTTGGAAGGGCATTCTCATCTGTAAGTCACAAAGTTACATTTTACCAACTATGACTCTCTTCCGTATTTAGGAGAAGGTTTGGTCAGAAAAGGAGCTCTAGCTTCTCTGTGCAGCATCCCTCTTCAACGTCTCCAAAGGAGAAATGCCAGGTAATCTCACAGCCTATCAGCTTTTCATTTGTGAGATCTACTTAGTTGAATCGCCATGAAACTTTCACTCGATTCTGCACGTGAAGAGTGTCACTGGCATAATGACATCTGATGTTTACATTGTATGCACTTTCATGCATTTTTGATGTACTTTTGTGTGGGTTTAAAAGGGCCACAGCGAACTTCCTAGAAGAGACAAAGTCTTTAACCCAAGATCCGTAGTAGAATCTCTGTTTTGTCTTCCGAAAGTTCATATAAGGATGGGTGATGTGTGAGTTGCTGCCCAAACTGCCTGCCGCATCCGGAGGTGAGGTACTAGCTCCAAGGACCACTGCCCTCTAGGCTAAAGGTCCAGAGGGCCTTTATTGGATGCTGTTGGTAATTTCCTAGCTGCCAGAGCACTGTGCCCTTCTCTGCCTGTCCCACAACCCCGAAGGCCTTGAGTGCTTCCCTGAGTAAATAGGCCATACTCTTATCATTTAATACTTTGTTTTTTTCTGCTTAAGGGTCATGTTACTTATAAAATTTGAAAACTCCCAGGTTCAGATTCCTGTTTTAGATTAATATGAACACATTTAGGAATAGAGAACCTTTTTTTTTTTTTTTTTTTTGACTTCCTGTGTTATGTTCTTTGAGCAGTAGGAATATGAAGAAAAACTAGATTTATGTAGCTGTTCTAAGGAAACTCACATGAGGTGTAAAGTAGTAAAAAGATTTAAAAGTGAAGGAAGAGTACAGCTCTGATGTTGTTCCTTATCCCACGGTGCTCAGATCCGGGAAAATTTGGGAGGAAGAACAGTAAATGCCCACAGAGCTCGTACCTCCTGGAGACGGGTTCCCTAGAAGCCTTCTTTGGAAGCCCGGCCCCACCCTCTCTGCCCTCCCTCCGCTCCCGTCCCTCAGGATGGTGATGAAGCAAATAGTGTAGTTTGTGTTTTTTAGGAAATGTTTTCTAAGAGTGGGTGCATTTAGACACTTGACTCTCCTCGCCCTTTGCATTAGGCGGTGTATCATCCATTCTCCATCAGCCTCAGTGCCCTGGGCATGTGTGTTATCTTATGGCCCCTCAGAGCCTTTGGAGAAATAAGTAGTGGGAGCGTAAACTGGAGATTAAATATGTCGATGCACTGGTCTTCTTTCTCCAGGACAGCACTATGAAAAAGGATGGAAAAGATAATGTTTCGGAGCATTTTAGAGGAAAAGTTGAAGATGCAGAGCCTTCATCCGGGGCCCTCACTTCGTCCTCACTGTTGGCTAAGATGAGAGCCAGAAACCACCTAATTTTGCCAGAGCGCTTAGAAAGTGAAAGTGGGTACCTTCCAGAGGCTTCTGCTCCTCCGCCTTCCAGCGTGGAACATGATGACCTTCTGGTAGAAATGAGAAACTTCATTGCCTTTCAGGCCCAAGTTGATGGCCAGGCCAGCACTCGGGAGATACTGCAGGAGTTTGAATCCAAGTTATCAGCATCACAGTCTTGTGTCTTTCGAGAACTATTGAGAAATCTGTGCACTTTTCATAGAACTTCAGGTGGTGAAGGAATTTGGAAACTCAAGCCAGAATACTGCTAGTCAATATTACCTTCTGAACTTTAAATTGACTTTTTCTAGTGGAAATTTCTGATTATTAATCTTGTGATTAATAATCATGTTTTGTCAATGGAAGTTGGCTGCATTTGATGTTTACTTTGAATGATAGCTACCTCATAATTAAAACTTTAAGGAGGAAGAAATTCTTCTCTGAAACTTAAAAAGTTTTAAAAATACCTGGATTTCTTTTTTTTTTCCCCAAATACCTGGATTTCTTTTTTTCTTTTCTTTTTTTTTTTCCAAAATTAATTATGAAATCAGGAACCTAACTGTTAATCCTTGGAACACATTTGTTCTTTTACCCAGAAGGTGCTGTCAGGGAATACATTACTACTCATTTAGAAGTTTATAGACCAGAACTCTCAAGAATTCTTTTTATTGGTGCTAAAAACATGTCTTATATTCAGTTAGACCTGTTCAGTAAATTAGTTCATCAGTATCTGATAACAGAATTGTTTTTGGTACCTAGCTTTTAAATGTTTAAATCGATCATTTGCCACCCAAAAAAGAGATCGGACTTGTTACCTTTTGAGTCCTATTAGTTGCCTTTAAACGATCTTCTGTTAAGGTACTGTTAAATTGACAAGTATTTTTATTAGTAAAGCATGGAATAGCTTGATAGTAAATGATGAGACATGTATTTGCAGAAACTTGTAGTTTTCTCAGTTTACAGTGGCTTTATTTTAAGCAAAGGGCACCTGCCCCCCACCCCGTCCCCACCGCATAGTGAATAGTGGTTTTAGGAAAATATATGTTATCTTAAAAAAAAAAACTCAAGCAGAACCAAAAGTAGGTACAAATAAAACCACCAACGCCCACACACACGCACAAGGACATTGCTCCAGACTACACCCGGATATACCATCATCACCACATAGTGAGCACCATTCCAGCCCTCTCTCTCTGCTTACATCCTGGGCGGGAACTTTGAACATTTTTTTTTTACCTTATTCATTGTCTGTCTTTCTAAGGATGCTGGTAACTTTATATCAGACATCATTGTTCTCCTTCTTCTGTCCAGTCATTTTCATCTCTCTTTTCCTTTCCGTTCACCGTGACTCTGCTGTTTTAGAGGTTTGGTTTTCAGCTGCATCTGTTTCTGGCTGTTTGTTTATGTGTTTAGAGTTTTGTGATGATGTTGTTTTGATCCTTAGTTTGTTTTCTTAGCGTTTTTCTTTCCTTGTCATTGTTTTATCATCACAGCTCTGAAGTCCTGTTTTCTGAAGTTCGTTGGATTCCTTAAATGTCTTCTAGAGCTGTCTCGGTGCAGTTTGCTTCTTAGAGTTGTTTCCTCTGGCCTGCTGTTTTCACTCGTTCTGATTTTTCTGTATTGTGCTCTCCTTCCTCCCATGCTGTTTCTTTACATCTAGCTCATGCTAAAATCAGGCAGCTGGGTCCAGATCTCCTGTATGCTCTTCCCTGCCACCCAGAGAGAAGGGGTGTGGGTTTGGAGGTCGGGGAGAGCCTCTGCTGGGCAGCATGCAGCTTTTGGTTGGAGGACTTGGGTTTTACTTTTCTGTTCTGAGATTTTGTTAAATGGCTTGGGCCATGAATCCTTCCCCTTAGATTAGGAGATGTCATTGTCAGAGTCATAATTCCCACCAGAATTTTCTGCTGCTTTTTTTGGATTCTGGGTTTTTTATTTTATTCTGTTTTTAAAGTGGTTCGGTATTAGAGGGAGAAGGTTCTATTATTTTCTTCATTCTGCCATCATTATCTGGAAATAATAGAGACTTTTAAACCGGTCAGTACATCCTAAACTTGACTACTTGGCTCAGAAGGGAGTCAAAATTCATGACTTTTGTTTCTAGGAGGTTCTTTTTTAATTTTAATTTTTGTAATCAAGTCATTAATTGAAATGTAATCATCATTTCAATTAAGAAAATTGCATCCCTTTTGTTCTCGGATTAAAGTACCGATGCAGTTCACGGAGTGTGAAGTGCTTTGGCATCCTAGCTCTGTTGTGTGAAATCTAAACTCTACCAAGCTAGGGAAGTTGTAGCCTTCTCATCAAGTAGAAAATGCCAGCAAAAGTTATGATACAGTCACAGCAAGGTGGCCTTCACTCCAAGCCTTGTCTCAACTCTGCCACCAGCTGAGACCTTGGGTAGTCACTGCCTTGCCTGTGTCTCAGTATGGATATCTGTAAACATCGTCATCGTGCCTCTGGGTGGAGAGACTTAGAGGAAGATGCTCTAAGTCGTGGTTTTAACAACATAGAGTAACTTTTTCATTTAGATAAAATCTAACTTTTGGAACTTTAAAAGCTTTGTACAATATAGATAATGTATTCAAAATGTTATGTTGGTATTAAGCTACAATAAAGGATTTTAAAATTTTGTGAAATTTTAAAAATTCCTTAGTTAATACATGAATATACTATCACTCTTTAAAAACTTTCAAGCAGTACCCTGCCTCCCCACCCCCTCTTGTTCGTGTTCCAGAGATAAGTACTGTATTTGGTGTGTGTTCTTCCAGGCTATTTTCCATGCCTTTACAGATGCGTGCCGCAGAGACTGCTGCTGTAATGTCTGTTTTCCGCTTCTCCTTTACTGATAAGATTCCTGCTTTCTACCTGGACACGTGGCTGCTCAGCTCACGACTCTTACTTGCCAGCCTCCCTTAGGGTTAATTGTGGCCACGTGACCAGGCAATGGGCTACAAAGAGAACATCCAGACTGGGCCCTTAAATAAGGAATTGGGTGTCCACTCCATTCGACATTCCACTTTGTGCTGGCTGAGATGCCTGTGGGAGCTTAAGCAGTGACATGAGGTGGGGAGAAGTCGTGTGCTGAGGGCCTTGAACAGCTTCCCTTTCACCCGTTAACTTAAGAGCAAAATAAATTCCTGACTTGTTTAAACCACTGTCTTTTGGAGTCTTTTTGTTACAGCAGCTGGTTTTGTTTTATATGTGATTTACAAAAATGGGATTATCATCTTTATTACTTTGCAACTATTAACTTTTCATTCAACATTATATACAACACATCCTTTCGTTCCTCTAAGTATAACTCTACCTTCATGTAATTGCTCGAATTAAAATTAGGTGGGTTTTTTATTTTAATGGTTGTAGTGAAAGTGCTTCCTTCAATTCATACTCCATAAAAGGGCCATTTCTCCACACCCTTGCCAACAGTAGGCCGTATCAATCTCGGAAGTTTGTTGTTTGTTTTCCTAAACAATATTGTGGTTGAAAATACCTTGTTTTAACTTGAATTTCCCTGATTACTTATAAAACTAAATATTTCCATGTTTTTTGGCCATTTGTAGATCCTCCAAGTTGCTTGTCTGTGTTATGTTGGCCCAGTTTCACTATAGATCATTTTCTCTCTTAGGGGTTACCCCCTTTCCCAAACACAAATGAAAAGGCAATTGTTCCTACTATTATTGAATAGTCCAATCTTTTCTCCATCCATTTGAAATGCCTAGTTTATCATACGCTAAATTGTCTGTTTCCGGACAGTGGATCTAGATTCTATTCTACTGACCACACACTTCCCTGTCCAACTTTGTACAGTGTTTTGCTATCCATAGGCATGTTTCCCTTCCTTTTTCCCCCCTCTTCATTGTCTTATTCTTGTGCATTTTCTGTTCCAGGTGAATCTTAGAATCGGTTTATTAAGTTCCACTCAAATTGTGTTGCTCTTTTGATTGGGATTGTATTAGTTCATACATTAATTGGAGGATAATAGACTTCTTTTAATTAATGTAGTTTTTCCCATTAGCATCATGATAGACCTCATTTTATTAGAGTATGTTATATTCTTGGATAAAATTTAAATAACTTTCTTCATGAAGGTCTTGCACATTTCATATTAGGTTTATTCCTAGCTATTTTATAGATTTTTAGTTTTGTGAGGGATCTTTTTACTTTTGCATGAAAATATGGAGAATGAGAACACAGAACTTTTTTATGATGTTTATCATACAGTTTTTAATTTAAATATAGTCAGATTCAGTCTTTTCATGTTTCATTTTGTTTCCTTATTTAAGAACCCCTTTCCTAACCTAAAGTCATGATTACATTCTCATAAATTCTCTTGTAAACACCATGTGGATAGTTGCTTTTTCTAGCACCTTTTAAAAAAATAGTTCATCCTTTCCCTCCTCCTGACTTGTAAGCCTTCCTCTGTCACTATATCTAATTTCCATGTAATTATGGGAATGTTTCTGGGCTCTGTACTCTGTTCAATTGGTCCACTTACTTAACTTTGCCAATAACTCATAGAATGATTCCCCTCATCTTCCAAAAAATTTCTTAGTTCCTGAACCTTTGTTTGGGATCAGCTTGTCACATTTGGATTTTGTTGCTGTTTTTGAAATTGTAATGACCGTACAGATTACTTAGGGAGGACTGTTTACTGAGTTTCACATCTATGAATAGGGCATATCACTCTGTTTATAGTACATATTATAAAGGCATAATTCCGTTATGTCTTTCACTTTTATAAGGTCATGCACATCTTACATTAACTCCTAATTATCCTACAGTTTTTGTTACTATAGTAACAAACATTTTAAACATTTTAAAAATCACATTTTCTAGTTTATAAGAGTATTGTTGGGTTTTACATACTGGTCTTGTATTTAGCAACCTTGCTTGAACTCTTATTAATTCCAGTAAGTCTGTAAATTGTCCTGTGTGTTACAATCATATCAGCTGCAAATAATGACAATTGTATTTCTTCCGTTTCAATACTTCCAACCATGTATTTCCAATATGATAATGAATTTAATTGACAACGGTTGACATCCTTGCCTTATTCCTGTCTTCTAAAGTTTTACCATTAAATATGCAGTTGCTATAGCTTTCTGGCAGATGATCTCTATCAGGTTAAGGAAATGCTCTTTCTGGGCTTCCCCGGTGGCACAGTGGTTAAGAATCTGCCTGTCAATGTAAGGGACACAGGTTCGAGCCCTGGTCCGGAAAGATCCCACATGCCGCGGAGCAACTAAGCCCATGCGCCGCAACTACTGAGCATGCACTCTAGAGTCCGCGAGCCTTGACTACTGAGCCCACGTGCCACAACTACTGAAGCCCGTGCTCCTCAACAAGAGAAGCCACCGCAATGAGAAGCCCACGCACTGCAACAAGGAGTAGCCTCCACTCGCTGCAACTAGAGAAAGCCCACACACAGCAACGAAGACCCAATGCAGCCAAAAATAAATAAATAAATATTTAAAAAAGGAAATGCTCTTTCCAATCCTGAATCCAGTGCTGAATTTTATTAAATGCTTTTTCTGCACTATTGATTTAATTGTGTAGTTTTTCTCCTTTAAATCTCTCTCAGTGTTGTAAAGTACACAGTAATTTTCCAAAATTAAAACATCTTTTAGACTTCTACTTCCAGAATGGCAGTGTGAAGGACCCTGCAGAAGTGCAATCCAGAAAATGACTATAACTAGACAAAATTCCAGAAGACAAACACCCTCTCCCTCCCCCAGAAGATTTAATATATCTGGAAATAATCCTAAGGGTATATTGTAAATGAAAAGACAGTCAAGAAAATCTACTAAACCTTGGTAAGAACAGCAAAAGTCTGTGACTCTTGAGCCACGACCTATTCCTTCCCTGCTTCCTCCTCATCTCAGTGTGATGACAGAGTCTGTGATCCAGGTAGGTTTAGCCAAGAAAATGTGGCTCCTTCCTGCAATTCCCAATCCAGGGGTACAGTATCTCACTGGGAGGGGCATGCTGGC